AAGGATGCATCGGTGCTTCTTGATTTGAATGTTCAGAATACCAATATTTCTAGTTGTCGCATTATCCAATATATAGTCCTTGGTGCATCAAGATCCTCTTGATGTCTAATGACTCTTCATAAGGACCTCATGCTGATTCACTTCAAACCATGAATTACCTTTAATTCATAGCTTGAGCATGCTGCCAAATTTTGTTTTTTGTGCTCCCAGGTGACTGTCCCTGACATGATGGAGAACTTCCAACAAGCCATTAGACACTTATGAAACAGCTAAACATCAAGCAGTACATTTCTACCAAGTATTATCATAATCTTTGGGATTAGGAAACTACTGGTATTTACTGCAACTTGTTTAAAGCCACGTGGGAAATTCTGGCCCTATTGAAGTCAATGGCAAAACTGCCATGACTTCAAGGGGATCAGAATCTCATCTGTGGTGAATCTCAGTTTTATCAGTGGGATTCTCCCTGGCTTTAAACAAGCTAAATAATGGTCACTGACTCATTTTCAGATTTTTAAAGAAATTCTTATTTCCAGTGTAATTTTTTACCACATTGAATAGGAGAAGAGTGCAAAAATTGCAAGGAAATGTTTGCCAAAATGTCATGTGAAATTGTTCACCAATTTGTTTTGCATGTTTTTGAGTACTCTGAACTTAGCTTTTCTCTAGCTACTGCACAGGTTGTAGACTACAGTCTGTAGGCTCACAAAAATCCTATAAAGATAAAACAAGTTGTTGTTTTTGTCGGACCCATTAAACTTTTCTGTTCCAAGTTCTTAATGGTTTCCGGTAGTTCACTGAATCCATGAGTAGGACCTTTTAATACTGTGTTAATACAATAAGTATAGGAAGTCATTTTATGACTAGGAAAGAATACCATTATGATTACATTCTTCTTTTTAGCTGGGCTTTTATGGAAACTACCCAAGAGTACTCTGCAGTATGACTTAGAACACAGGATGTGCTTGATTAAAAAGGTTCTGGGTGCTTTCCAACTGGACGCAGGCCAAGTGCTAACAACTAAACAGAACAAAAGAATGGATGTTTGAGGATGACATACTCTCAATGGTAATTATATAACACAAACCTCAGTCAAGGGCTGACTACGTACCCTTGAATTCATGGATGTTGACAGACGATCCTTCTCCTTGCAATTGGTTGCACCTTATCTGTTGCTCCTTACTATGCTTCATAAAAAACTAATAGGAGTAGACTGGTTATAAATTTATTGTACTATATGTAATCTATGGACTGGTCAAAAAAAGAAGCAGAAGAAGATGAGAAGCCAAGTCCTATAGTTTTTTCACAATCCTGGACCATCCTTTGGAGAGGAAGCGTAGCCCAATGGTTAGGGCACTAGCCTAAGACTTGGGAAATCAGGGTCCAGTTATCTGCTCCACCAGACTTCCTGTGTGACCTTGGGCAAGTCACTTAGGAAACTGAGACACAGAGAGGCTATCTGTGAAATGGAGATAATGATACCACCCTACCTCACAGGGGAAGGATAAATACATTAAAGATTGTGAAGTGCTTTGAGATCTACTGAAGAAAAGCGCTACGTAAGAGCTAGATATTGTCATTACTGGTTTCAGCTACAATATCTTTTTGATATACCTATATATAAATTTCATATTAAAACTGTATGGCTAGAAATAAAAATACCACTTCAGTGGGACTACTCGTGAGTCAAGTTACTTATATGTGTTTGCAGGATCAGGCCCTTTGGCCCTTGTGGGCCCCATCCTTGACACAACTCACCACACCCCATCTGAGTTCCTGCACAGCTCTGGGGTTTCTCATGGCCCCCTGCGTTTGAGTGTGACACCATATATTTTAAACATTAAAAAAGTAAAAAATTCATACACAAAAATACTTTTCTGTGAAACAATTTATGTTACCATACTACTATGCCTGACACAAACCCATACCGTCAAGGAAATGGAAAGTTAAGCCACCTGGCAGTAAATACTCTCTGTTCTTCCACCTACAGGTGCACACCTTTCTACCATAAACCACACACCATACAAAAAAACCCTTTACTCTGACCCTGCAAGGACGCCAGCCTCCAACACCTGACATGCACAGAGCATTGTCTATTGGAGCAGAGTAAAGCAGCATGTAACCCAAGTCTCAACATGACAAAACCACATTCTGCCTATAAATAGCACCTAATTCCTAAGCTGGCAGGAGGATAGCTGGGTAATATGATGAATGTGAGCACCTTTGCTCCAACTCCGGATCAAAGATCACAAGCAGATTTCTGATAGAACTGATGGGGTCAATACGATTGCCAACAGATGTGATGTTAATGGGACGGGTACTCTCAGGTTTCATAAGATTTGCATGTAATCATCAAAAAGATGAAGGACAACTGTGACATCATCTCACACACGCGTCTAGCTCAGAGATACCTCCCGCAATGGATAGAAACAGATGAACACACCTGCGCCACATCTGTTTAGCAGCAGAAGCTCAAGATGAAATAGTGAAAAACAGATCCAATTAGCAGCACTATAAATGAGATAAGTGGAGGTGGTGGCTGGGTGCAAGAATACCAATAGGGGCAGAGCTAAGATTGGGGTGTGTGCTCTGTAGCATAGAGCAATGGTGCTGGTGTATGCAGGAACCAAAATTTTACCAGTAGATCCCAGAATCCCATCCATATCCATCAGGAATTATGGAATCACAGGATCATAAATATCTTGCTAGTAAAATGGATAATGATAGCAGGATCAATAAATCTGCCATCTAGCTATGATTATTTGATAATATCATCATTGGTTTCACCCACAATCTGCTTTGCTTTCATTCTATCCTCAGGCATGTGCAACCAACTCCAGCTGAAGTTAGTGGAAGCTGTACATGCAGATCTAAGGGCAGAGTCTTCCCTACCATACTTTAAGTCACACAATGGATTGCCTCCTAACCAATATAACCCTTCCAAAGACCTATGGAAATTCTTGGAAACTGCCTTAACAATTTCTTTGTAGTAAAAGGGAAAAAATGATAGTAATGGGATAGCTGATCTTCATTTGGAAGCTAAAAATAAAAGTAACTTTATTGCAGCTCTGATCTGTCATGTGTAAAATCCATCACCTACCATAAGAAGGCAGTTCATTCCAGCAGAAATCTGATTGATAGTGCTGGAACTTTAGATCAAGCAGCAGAATAGAGAGCAACTGGTTCATAAAATGTACTCAGTGTCTTCGAGTTTTATATTAGGCTTCCTATAGAGAGCTTTGGTCCCATTAAATGCACTATATACCACTGAGCTATGAAGCGCTGTTCTTTTAAAATTCAGCTTATAACTATAAACCATGATTGACAAGTCTATTACTGTTGGATACAAACTAATGAAATATTGTATTTTATAGTATACTCACCAAAATATTTTTCATAGTGGAATGCAAATACACTTGCTTTAGGAGAAAAATCACTTTAAGTTGTAATAATATTTTTTATGTTTTATTAGAGAAGGTTCTTGATATATGCATTGCATCATTTAGAGATTCTGGCATATGAATTTATCCTTTCTGTTTTCAGGATCAGAGAGTCCAGTGGGTGAGATATTTTTTAAAATCTGAAATCATTTCCAGAAATAACAATAGAATAAGGGAAGGACTAATCTGATGATATTGTTGGAAAAATAAATATCACTTATGTGCACCAATTTCTTTTTATCATTAGCCAGATTTCATAATTCTCATTAAAACTGAAATGCTGACTTTCAATTTTTGTATCCAATCAGAAGAATTAAATAAATTGAATTTAGAGGGTCGGTGTTAGAGATTCATTTTGCAAATCCTTACTCATTCAAGTAATTTTACTCATATGAGAAAAGTTGCATGACTTTATTTCATGAGTCAAGGAGTCCAGAGGTTAAAACAATGGAATGGAATGCTTGGATTCTAGTACCAACTCTGTGATTGACTGGCCACATGACTTGGGCAAGTTATCTGACCTCACTGAGACCTCGTCTGTGCACAAAGTTGTATTGATTTAACTAAAACTGGTTGAAAATCAATTGAATTAAACCAATTCAAAAATGTGGTGTAGACATGTTAAATTGATTTAACCTGGCTTATACGGATGTAGATTAAATTGCATCCTGACTGAATTAAACTAAATTGCTATACGCCACTTCTAAATCCATCTAAGTGTCCACACAGGGGTTTAAACACATTTTAGTTAAACCAGTACAGATTGGTGTATCTTGGTTTAACCAAATCAGTTTAAAAAACACTCCAGTAGTTAAAGTGGTGCAGCTCTGAATTTAGGCCAGATCCAAACCTCACTTTCCTCATATGTAAAACGGTAACTATAATAGTAACCTACTTTACAAAGTTGCTAATTAATTCATATTTGTAAAGCACTTTGAGACCATGGGTTAAGGTGCAAAATATTGTGGGCTCAATTCACTGCTGCCTTACTCCAGTTTTACACCAGCACAAGATAATGGAAAAGGATGTAACTCAGTGAATAATCAGGTCCTCCATATTTTTAGATCATCCGTGATTTTCTTTAAGTGTGTGACTGTCAACTGTCCCAATGTGCATAAAATTCAAGACCTCTTTTTTCAACGCCAGCTTGCATAAGCCTATTGTATAATGTATTTTACGCTCCTTCAATAAACAAATGCTAAAATTCTTGCATCAGCTATTCATCAGGTTGAATTTTCTGTTGTAAGAAGCTTAGTATCTGATGACAAATTAAAAGTGGTTTAATTTTGGCAAGCTGTACAAATAAAATTGGCATTAATTTTGCTTAATAAACTCATCTTTTTATACATACCTCTGTTAGTTAACGCTTAAGAAGAAGAAACAGCAATAAGAGCAGAAGATGTAAAACTGGTTTATGGCGAATTTTTAAGCACTGTTGAGAACACCAGAATGCCAGGACAAGATTGTATGTAAGCTGGGTTCAGTTACCTTTGGAGAACTAAGCTCATTCCTTAAGATAAACTTAAAACAAAATATAAAGCTGGAAGTAACAATACTTACGACTTTTGTGGCACTGACTTGGTGGCAGCTTTCCCTGCTGGATCACTCCACTCTGTAAACGAACGACATTATTTCCAAATGTCAAAAGATTACTGTTGCCCTAAGCTCTCAACCCACCTAATTATACTTGGTTACACAACATGCCACAATGCGTAATATGTAATCAAAAATGGAACTGATCTGCTTTAGCACCATAGAAATTAATTTTTCATCCCTTGTTTTAATGATGTTAAGTAGGCAAAAAACAAACAAACAAAAAGAACCCCCCAACAACCAACCAACCAACCAACCAACCAACGAACCCTGATTGTTTCGATTAAGGACAATAAAGACCTACTTTGTACATTGTATCCTGAGGTCGGGTGCTGGGAATCCTACAATGAAGAACACAAAAATGTCAGGATTAGTTCAATGAAAGGAAGAAGAAGGTAGATACATCTTTCCTTGTTAGACTAAGGGCACAAGCATAACATAAACAGAGAAGGAAAATACACAGGTGCATGTGCCTGAGAAGAGAACAACACTAAAAATTTAAAAAACTGTATTATGTGTACATAAGAATGCTACTGAAGTGTACTTGCACTGCTCAGTACCTAGTCTATTTTAGGCCCAAACGGCCAAATCCTCCGCTGGTGTACACGGACTTAGTTCCAGTGTGGAATCCACACATCAGTTTACACCAGCTGATGATCTGGCCCTTTAAAGTCTTACCCACAGATGTGTACATGTGGTTCCCATTTAAGATAATGGGAAGTATTTGCATAGGCTGAACTTGGTCTTGAGTTTTAAAATAACTAGGCATTAAGTTCAGCAGCATTACTCTTCTTTTTTGACCCCACCTGCTTAAAATGTCATTACCTAAAACTGAAATTCAAGATGTTTTGGAGTGCTATCTTACGTACACGTGACAAAGACACATGAGTCAGTTCTTCAGCTGATGTAAACCAGTGAAGCTCCAGTGAAATCAATGAAGCTGCACTAACTTTACATCAGCTCAGGATCTGGCCCACAGTGTGGAGTGCACACAGCATTTTGCACACAATGTGTTTCTCACTGACTCACAGTAATGTATAATGACATTCTTAATTTCACATTCTTTTCTTGCTTGATCTTTCCCTTGGCTTTACAATCAACAATGAGGTATAACCTGATGCCAAATCAGCCTTCATCCCAAGTAGGCCCTAGTAGTTTGTGATGATTTTAAATTAAGCCATTATTTACAATCCAGTCCGAGAGACAGGCACTACTTTGTTAAAAGTCTTAGATCTGTAGGATGTTAAAGTCATTAAAGCCCTCGCTACACTTTCTCTCAGGGCATTATTAGTTCCTAATATTCTGCTGCACTGTTAGTCAGTCCCTTGTGAGGTAAATCATGCCTTCAAGAGTAAACATAGCACTTTAAATTTGAGTGTCAGAGGGATAAATAAATTGTTGTGATAAGTTCTGCTTTTTCTATTGCATGATTTTACAAATGGGGAGACTTAATTTTTTTATGTAAGCTGAGGACCTATAAAAAGGCCTGCTTTAGGTTTATATGACTACATGTTCTTATCTGTTTTATCTCTAAAACCTATCAATTTGGCTCTCTCTAATTGATTTAGTGGGATGTTCTGAGTAGGCAATCTTGTACTGTATTTTTCACAGTAAAGTTAACTAACCTAGAAACATCCATGTTCTTTCCTCTTTCCTAAAGTGTGATTTTTTAAAAGCCTAATTTATAGTTCATAAAGTTTATCATAACCTCACAGATTTTTTTAAACGGGTCTGAGAGCATAAGATTTACTCATGCAAAACTCTCGTTGAAGTTAGTGAAGGAGTGCAGTACATGGTCCTATTTTTGTAGAGCCCAGAAAAAAACCAGCACTAAATTTAGTCCTGCTCTAATTTAAGAAGATATAGCTTCCAGTGTGCCAGACTCCATGCTTACTCATATAGGTATGAATCCACTTTGCCCTAAATGGATTCTGTGGAGTTTAACCAGATTACAGTAATATAAATGAGTGCAGTATTCAGCTTAGTTAGGAATTGCACCCACATATGAATCTGGCCTATGATGTTTAATGCAGCAGCACTTAAGTGCATTGCCATTGCCATTGTCAGTAGCGGAGCAGAACACTGATGTTTTGCTGGAATATGGCCTGGTAAGAGTTTGCTTTGTTTTGTTTAATAGCAATAGCCACACTGATTTCACATTAGCTTCAGCCAACACATGGAGGCAGGGTTTGGAGTGGGAGAATCTCTGGCAAATAGTGACAACTGGACAAAATTGGTGAGGGGAAAACTGATTTTAAATGTCTGAAATAGTGCATGATTACAAAAGCCTCTACTGCATGAATGAAAGAACCAGCTTTCTGTTGTCTTCAAAGCTGTAGCAGCCTCAGAAACGCTTGACATTGTCCAGCCCATGGAGAGAAGAACAAAACCCCACACTATGGGGTAACATTTCCAGCTCCCCTGGAAAGTATGACTCCCAAGTGGCAGAGGTCCACAGCAGTTCAAATCTCAGTATAAGTCACCACTTGCCGCAATGCACATGTTGAGTCATCTGCAGGGACTGAATCTGGGACTTTGGGATCTAAAAGCATGAGCCTCTATTCCTGGAGCTAAAGTACCAGCCCTTTTAATTGTAGAGCAGGAACAGACCCACATACTACTTCATTGGTTTTAGCCACTAGTGGGGACAAAGATACTCTTTGCCAGTGTGTTACACAAACAACGGGAGAAAAAATAAACACACTGTAAATACTATTTGTAATAGAAAGACTCGTTTGAAAACATAGATAAGATTCACCTTCCTTTTATCCTTTACTGTAACTTCTGAAGTTCTGAACAAGCAGCCCTATCAATAACATATTAAGAGAATTTTCATCTCAAAAGAATTTTGAAAATGAAACCAAATCACAAAAGTAAAGTTCCAGATCCTCAAATTGGGCTTATTTAGGCTCCTAAAATTGATTTCAATGGAAGTTAGGAGTCTAAATATCTTTGAGGATATGGGCCAAAGTGTCTAGTGAAGATCACTCGTATGTGAATGAATAATAATTAATAACCTACCTGCACCTTGCTTGGGATGGAAAACTTGGTCTGCTCAGCCTTGCCGGGGGTGTGAATAGCAGTAAGAGGTGGAGGCCAGGAATGGGTCATCTCCTAGTGGGGGAAAAATATGTTTTTGAGAAGTCATTCATTCAATTAAAAAGAAAGAGAGAGAATTACCCCACAGTTGGCCATCAAACCCTGGACTGATCAACAAGGCCAACATCACATATCTGCTTCTAGAAGGTGAGGGACAGGCTTGCTCAGAAGGCATCCTGAGTCCTTACCTGGTGGATGAGCTCCCTAATTATACAACGGATCACATACTCTCAGGAAGTACAGTGGAAACATGCTTTAATGCTACTAGTCCCACCAGTAAAAAATTTCAGCCGTGTCCAACATTGAGTTGAGATGGCCTCCAGCAGGTAAGCCACTGGCTCTACTCCCATGGCCAGATATCTTAGGTATGTGTAATGGCCCCCATCGTCCTAGCACCTGAGCAACTCTCAACCTTTAGTGTATTTAGCCTCATCCTCCTGTGAGGTAGGACGGGTTTTATTATCCCCATTTTACAGATGGGGAACGGAAGTACACAGAGATTGACTTGCCCAAGATCACACAGGTCTCTCAAGTTAGCACCCTATCCACTGAGCAATCCTTCCTTTCTAACCAGCATAACCATAGTCTTGCATTTTTAACAATGTGTTTAAATGTCTTCATGGAAATCTCTCAGGTACTCAGTGGCACAGGTCACAAAACACAGACCTGTGTGTCTGTTCGAACACTAAGTGACCAATCGTTTTTCTGCTGAAGTCAATGGTAGTTTTCCCACTGACGTCAATGGGAGCAGACTTGGCCCATCCTCAGAAAAGAAAAATCGGTAAGAACACAGATAGTGCAGGAAGTGCGGTTGTCGGCAAAGCTTGTCTATGCCCTTGCAATGAGTGCATTCCATTTTAGATGCTGCTCCATTCTTTCTTACCTTTGTTTGTAATTTGATGAATATTCAGACAGGTAATAATACATGTCTCTGGTGATCTGTTACATCTTTGTCTCATTGTTTTTCTTTACTTTCAATGCTCAGAAGAGATTCTTTTATGACAAACAAAAGAGAAAGAGTGTCTCATCTATGAAGTTCTGCATGTGACAGCAATGTTACTGGCTGTGTTACACGAGTGCAGGTGTCTGCAGCTTTACTCTGCTCTTAAAAACCTAAGGCTGATCACAACAAATCTTACAAGCTATAGCTGCTTTGTTTCTGCTGCAGCCCTAGCTGACATTCTGCAAGTAAAAAAGAAAGAAGACCTTGTTAAAGGTTAATGTTGTGAACCATCAATCACAACCAGTCCCACCTGAGGGTGCTTGGCTCAGCCAGCTAAAACATGATGAGGATGGTTGCATTCAGCTGCAAAGATATTTTCACTGTAGAAGCAGCCAGTAAATACTTTCACTTCCCTAATTATCCTTCCTGAGATCACATGATATGCAGTACTGAGGTAAGGAAAAGTAAATGAAACCACTCACTATGCACAGGGGACAGTCTGCTCTCTTTGCGCCATTCAAGCAGGAGTGGGAAAAAAACCCAAATCCCTGTAGGGGGTATCCCTGGGGTGGGAGAATCCCCAATGGACAGAGAGCAAGAGAAGCTCCTGCATATGGGGAAGAGCACATCAAGGGTGAGAAAATTCCCCTAGGGGACCACTAGCAGTTGGCAGAAGTCAGAGTAGTCCCCATGCTGTTCTAACCTCTGTTGGGGGTCAGGGCTGGGGCAGACAATCAGGGAGTCTTGGTAGGTTGGAGGGGTCACTTTGTGGCACAACCCTTCAATAGCAAGAAAATGATGAAAGGGAGAATATATTAGATAGGCCAGTGGTTTTCAAACTTTTCGGGGGTCAGGACCTATTTGTAAAAATTTATGGCCTGTTGTGACCCAGTAAACAGTCTGGGGGTGAAGGCCCTGGGGTGGTTTCAGTCAGGTCCTCCCCCCCATGGGGTAGGGTTGCCAATTTTGGTTGGATGTATTCCTGGAGATTTCATCACACGACATAATCTTTAATTAAAGATTAATCTTTAATTCCTGGAGATTCCAGGACAATCCTGGAGGGTTGGCAACCCTACCAGGGGGAGGGGGTTGAGTCCTGTCCAGCACTCACCCTACCGTGGCAGCCATCCCACAGTGGTGGCTCCTGCAGCTCTGCTGCTTTGGAGATGGCTGGGCTTGGCTCTTGGCTTTGGGCGTTGCAACTTCCGGGGTTGCAGAGCCGCTCGGGTGTTGCCCCACCCCCCATGGGGTGCGCTGGCAGAGCTGGGGATGCAGGGAAGTTGGGATGCACTAGCAGAGCTGTGAGGTGCAGGACGTTTGCAATACAAGGGGTTGGGATGCATGTGCTGAAGTGAGATGACATTGGAAGAGCTGGGGGGTGACATGCTTACCTCACCTGAGACCCCATAACATCTCTCCCCTCCTGTATCACCTAACCCCAATTTATCCTCCCCATAGCCCTCTCCCCGCCTATTGCTCCACTTCTCCACCCTCTAATTCCCCTCCTTTCCCAGGAAGCATTCATATGCCTAATTCCACCCCCCCAAAGACTGGGATTACATTCCCCCAAATTAAAATGGCCACCCACAACTTTCAAATTGTAGCAACCTCCACTCACTCAGTCCAAAGCTCCTTTTGCCTTAGATGAGGGTTTGTGATTAACTTATTCTTATTACGTTAATTGAAGGAAGAGTTCACAGCCATCAGTCTGTGATTCATCCACTCATTAGTACCCCACAGTTTAATGGTGCAAGGCAGCAGAAAGAAACCAGTTTTTTGGGCAGCCAGTAACTTGGGAACCCGTTGGTCACATAATCCCAAATTTGGATCATTAACGCTACCCTGCGCCTTCATGAGACACACCAAATGTCAAAGCAATTGGAGTAACCATTCAGATTTTAGAGCACATTCAAGAGTTGCGATTTAAAGCATTCAAAATGGCGGAAATGGAATTCTAGTAATTTTTTCTGTATCAGCGCGCGCACACTGTAAAAATGTACTTTTTCTCCAATACCGTACTCAACTTGGGTCCCCAAAGATTTAGTGGATGCCATACGTTATCTTGGGTAAAGCTCAACAGATTGAGACCACATAATATTAATAGTTTGACCTGTAGCTTTGCTAACAAAAAAACAACTAGAAACAATCTGAAAAATGGCTATTTTTAGGGGGCTTATATCTCTGTATCCCCAACTTCAAATGAGCCCAATTTGGGTCACTCACCCTACCCTGCATCCTCCAACTTTCAAAGGAATCTGACTAAGCATATTGATTTTATAGGACTTGGAAAGGTCAACCGTTAAGCAGAAGTTGTGACATAACCTTAACTACGGGTTGAAGTACAGCTATCTGTGGAACAGAACATGTCAGCTACTGTGATAACACAACAGTTTTAATGTCAGTAAGCAAAGAAGAATACCACGTTAGTCAAGATGTGATGGGGCAGGAGGAATATAATTATCTAATGTGCTAATAAACTTTTAAAGATTGCAAACTGAGAAAGCCTTGACTTTACAGCTCATCTGAAAAACATACCCTCTAGCGCCCATGTTTTCCTTAACAATATGCTGGGGTGGCATTGGTACTGTAGACTTGGGCCTTGATTTGCATTGAGAACTGCCTGAATGCACCCTACATGCGCACAGAGTCCTACTGAGGTAACAGAACTCCACGTGGATGCACTCATGCACTTCTGCTGTTCTCAATCCAGGATCCGAACCTCAAGCCCTGATCCTGCAAAAACCTATGCATACGTTAACTATACTCATCAGTAACTCCACCAAACCCAACGGGACTACTCACTTGTGTAGATTGAAGCACATGCACCAATCTTTGGAGAATCGTGGCCTTAGAGGGAAGAATGCCACCCATTGAATCATCAACACTATACTTTGCAACACCTTGTTTTCACTTGGTGGCCCACCTCAAAAATACCGGCAAGGCTTTACTCAGTTTAGCTTGTGAAATTTGACATATGCCAGCAATGAGAGCAGGGAATCACACCATTTCTTTTTCCAGGGAAAGTTCAAAAATTTAATAAATCCAAATTTAGAAATTCCTGAAAGTAACAATAATAAAACTGAGCATATGAAATGTTTTAAAGTGGAATATAATGGAAGTAAAGTAAGTCCACAAAATCAAGTGAGGATTTATTTTCACATGGTTTGGACTTAAAATAATTCCAAAATCATGTTAACTGATGGATTGGGCACATGACTACTATGGTAAGTATGCATACCTATTTTTATAGACCTGCAGATTAAATGGGAACGTAAAGTTGCACAGTTGGTTGGCTTAGAAGTCACTGTGGTCCACTGATGTAGTAACATCAAGCGTCCTCCTTCCTGAAAATTATTTAAACATTGTTTTAATTGACTCCATGTGTTTTATTTATTAGGACTAGGCACGCTCGTTTCTTCAGCTAAATCTGCTTTTTTCTAGCTGTAAAAGCCCTCAGGTAAGTAACTGAGAAGTACATCTGCAGAAGGGGTCTAATGAATCACTGTTTTTTCCTGACTGAACTCTTTAAGAGCTGTAGAGACACTGGCTAAATCAGAGCTGAAACGGAAAGGGAGAACTGGGAGTGCAATGGGATTTGTGTGCTTCTGCAAAGCAGATCTGAGCTGGAGCGTTGAGCCCAGGGGAAAAGGGGCAGATGGAAAAATAGCTGTGCAAAACCAGACCCTCAAGTTAATTGCCTCTTTCAAAGTTTAGTTCCTTTCCCCCTCTTTCAATTTTTCCATAATTTCCTCCTTGTTCAAAATAAAATGTTGCTGTGGCGTGTGTGTTTTGTTTTAAATTCAGGCAAAAGGTGTCAATCTAGAACTACAGAAATCATGATGGAAGAGGGCTACTAGTCTCCATCCCCAGGAAGGCACCTTCACTTTCTACAATGAACCCTAGAGCACCGTGCCCAGTCTAATTTGAAATATCTGACAGAAATGGGGTTTCTGCTATTTCCTTTAGAGGAGGATTTCATGGCATGATAGATCTCACTGGGCCAAACGCTGCCCTCTACTATATGGTGTGGATGAGAAAGCTACAGAAATGCATCGATGGAAAAGTAACAATG